TTACTCATATTCATAATTTTATATAATCTATTTATAAGGTGTTTAAAAAAAGTATTTTCTTTCCAGAATTTAATTAGAAGATATGTATTATTCCAATTTCCTCCAAAAATTAGGCTATTGAATCTTTAAATTTTATAACATTATTTGTCATATTCAATCATGTTGAGAGGAAAAATATACGTAATCTAAGAATTACTAATCTGTTTAATATCAATAATAAAGTTTTCTTGGATATTTATGCTATATAATCGAGAGAAAAAAGTCGATTAAATACAAGTTTAGAACTCGGAATTTCTAAAATAAGATGGAAATAAGTAATGTATTATATTAATGACGTATTTATTTTTATATGATACTTCCTTCATTATTGACCGAAGGTTTGATTGAACTATTCCATCTGAATTAATATATCCCCTAAAATATTCTTTTATAATTACTATTTATTTGTTCAAGTAATTGTTTATTTGGACAAATTTTTTATAGTTACTCATATAATTAAGATGATTCATCCCAACGATTCATTTACAATAAAGTTAAAACTGAGAAAATAATAAATCTTTACTTTTGATTACAATATAATTATGGTTATATGGATCAATAGAAAGAGCAATATTGCAAAATTTTAAAGCTTCTTGAGTTCTATTTACTGCTCTTAACGTATCAGCTTAAATTGAATTTAATAAAATATAAAAACCTTTTTCTGCATAATATTTTGAACCTTCAGGATTTCTTTGAATTGCTTCATCAAAATACTTCAGAGCTTCTTCGATCTTATATTAGAATTTTAATATATTTGCTACCAGTTTTAACCTGAGATTTACCTTTAAGCTCATAATTATCAGCAAAGTTGGGATTCCATTATATTGCTAAATTTGCATATTTTAATGCTTCATCAAATCGATTAAGATGTCTTAATGAATCAGCTTATTATATTATTCAATGTGTGCCTTTTGCTCCATATTAGAATGAGTCTTCTGGGTTATGTTGAATTGCTAAATCAAAATATTTCAAAGAATCTTCATAACGATTCATATCTCTTAATGTATCACCTAATTTTAATTAATTAATATAAACCTTTCCCTGAGTATAAAACCCATTTCGAAGGATTTATTTCAATTGCTTTATCAAAATATTCCAAAGCTTCTTTATGCCTGCTCTGAAGTCGTAATGCTTGCGCTATATAAAAGTTATAATAAGTTTACCTTTTGCTTCATATGTTTTTTCATCTTAGGGGCACATCGAAATCGCCTAATGATAACATTCCAAAGCGTCAATAGGTCTATTCAAAACTCGAAAAGTGTCGCCTAAACTAAACTGTTGTCAACATACCTTTATGAATAAAGTACTCATAATCTTCTGGGTTCTTTTAAATAGCCTATTAAAAACATATCAAAGCTTCTGTATAGCGATGCATCTCCCTTAAAGTTATTCCTTATATTATTAATAATCGATTAACCTTTTTGGGCATACAAATAGGCATCATCAGGATTTATGTTAATTGCGCTATCAAAGCAATCTATTGCTTCTAAATTCCTAAGCAATTATCTTAAGGAATATGCTTAAATTCATTATTTTAAATCCAACCTTTTCCTGAATAATGCTCATAGTTCTCAGGGTTCCTTTAGATAGCTAGGTCATAAGATAGGACTGCTTCTTCATTTCGATTTAATTATCTTAAAGTATAAGCTAATTATATAATTATTAATTTAAGCCTCTTCCAGAATAAAAATTAGAATGTGAAGGATCTAAATCAATTGCTTTTTACCATTCACTAAGCGCATCTTCAAACCGGTTCATTTATTGTAAAGTATGAGCTAATTTTTGAAAGGTAAATTTAACCTTTTCCTGAATGAAAACTAGGTTAGAATGAATCAAGATCTATAGCCTTGTCATAATAAATCAAAGCTTCTTTTAGTTTGTTTTATAATCTTAGTGCATTAGCTTTAATATTATAAATTCTTATAATCACCTTTTTCGGCATATAATTCTGACTTATCTTTGCTCTTCGATATTGCAATATCATAACTAGCCTAGCATTCTTCAAATCTATTCAAATGCAATAACGCATGAGCTAATGTTTACCCAAAAACTTACCTTTTCCAACATAGTATTAAGAAGAATTAGGTGCTTTTTGAATAGCGATATTGAAATAATCTAAAGCTTCTTCGCCTCTCTTTAACTATAGTAATGTGAAAGCTATAAATATAATAAATTAAATTTAACCTTTTCTTGCATAATTATTTTCATTCTAAGAGTCCAATTTGATTGCTTTTTCTGCAAATTCAAGCGCTTCTACTAGTCGATTCATTAACAATAGAACATTTGCTGCAATTTATTAATTCATAACACCTACCTTTTTCTTCATAATTTCTTGGATCATTAGGATTTTCTTTAATATCTTCATCTATTACCATCAAAGCTTCCTCTAACCTATTCTATTTGATTAAAGTCTAAGCTTGATTCGAATTAATTATTATTTATACCTTTATTAGGTATCAAAATAAAATGTTTGACAGCTTACTTGATATATTCTATGTCTTCTATTAATTAACCTTGAAATAGAAGATAATTTTCACCTTAAAGTCTTGCATCCTCCTAATCTCCAATTATTTGATCATCTAAAACTTTATCAATTTTTGGGGTATTGTGATTAAAATCAATTAATTATTTGTAAATTAAAAATTTTCGACCTATGTTTCTAGTATTGATATAAATTAAATAGCGCTAATTATTATCAACTAATACTTTTTGCATTTATAGAGCAATTTATTTATTAGGAAGATCTGGAATATTCATTTTTAACCAAAATATTTTATTGCTTCTAATAACTAAAAGATAAATAAAATATTAGAATTGAACTTGATTATGCCGTTTTTAATACTTAATGTTGTTTATGCATAGTTTAAGAAGCAAGATATTTGTATTCAGATACCATTTTCAATAATGCAAGTTTTATCTCCTAATTGTTTTGCTTACTGCAAGCCATGAATTGATTTTTTCTTTGTAATTATTTATTAAAATCTATAAATCAATTCGTTTAATGGGTTTCATTTGAATGATTGATAGAATTGAAAAATTGACAATTATTTAAATGTAATTGAGAAAACTACAACTTTTGGGATAAGTCTTCATTTATTTTAAGGTTACTCAGTTTTACCTTATTTTATAATTAAGTTTCTTAATTAATAAAGAATATGCATTAATATTAGCATCTGAACTTTAACAATTAAAGTATAATATTGCCTTTGATTTTTCATTTCAGAATGTAATTTTTAACTATTTATTTAATGCAATAGATTAAAAGAATGATAGAGAAATAAAGCAATTATCTTTAGACCTTCATTTTATAAAAAATTTTAGTTCAGATTAGATGAAGTTGGATTATCACCCCATTTTATATTTTTAATCTTTCATTTTTTTGTTGCTTAGAATATATATATATCGAAAACATGAAATTATTAGAAATGATAATTTAATAAATGAATTTTATGTAAAAATTGTTTTCTTTATAATTCAAATAAATGACAATTAAAATATTTCATACATTAAAATTTTTGGTTCAATTTAACCAAATAACATTGTCTGAGAATTTATCTATGTTGAATCTTGATATTCATAAGAGATACCAATTGATGAACTTCCATTTTAAAAATCACCTAAAATCATTAAATCACTTTATTATGAAAAATAATTTCGTATAGATCCATGAAATAAGGATGTTCCTCCAAATATAGGTCCATATGAGGTAGAACAATAAATAGCACAACCACTGCCTTCTTATTTAATTGGATAGATTTAATGGTTTGTTTATGAAAATATAAATGATGATAGTGTTTCATCTTTAATATATTCTCCTTTTTTACTTTTGACCCATTTACATGGAGTGTAGGCTCCAAAAACAGACTCACTTTAAGATTAGAAAACTATCATTAAGTTAGATTTTCCATCAACTATATTCCAAAACTATTCAACATTTAGATTAGTCTTGGATTCTTTATGGATTAATTCTATCTTAGCTATGTATTTTTTTGATTTCTCCTTAATAGTATCAATTAGCTTAGCTTGGAATTCTCGCGTAATCAGTTTAGTATTTTAGATAATTCCAGGGAATTGAGGGTTTATGATCTTATCAAAAGAAGTATGCATATACATTAATTATTAATATTGTTTGTCTAGTGTCTTTAGTTCTGGATACATCAAGGTCGATTCTTTCATATACTCATTTTTATATTCCAGAAGTGTAAAAACTTAATTGTTAACAATTATTTATTTGCTTTTAAATTAATTCTAAAAGTAAATGTAAACATTTCTTTCACATTGCTATATGTCTAAAGGATTAATAGATTGTTATAATTAATTTAAGTTTCCAATCTATTATTTGAATTGATCAAATTTGATTATCTAATTAATATTTAAATAATACTTCTTCTAGACTTTCTCTTATTTATTATCTAAGTTCGATAAATTTCTTTTTATAAACGAACAACTCTTACTGCATAAGACTTAACTAGTTTTGCATTTCCTTTATTAAGTTTTCTATTGACATTAATTTATAGTCTAAATTGTGTTCATCATATTCAATTAATTATTAAAAGAATTGTTGTAGTTTTTAAGAATCTGTAAATTTAGAAAACAAATATTCTGGATATAAAAAAGCCTTATAAAATATGTAAACAATCTACCCTCTTGATATTTATTAAATTTTAATTTTCATTCAATATATTCTTATCTATTAAATTTGAATGGCATTGATCACAAATAAATTCAATTTCTTTCTCTTTTTATAAAATATAAAGGAATTCTGATCCTTTATGTTTTGGACATTGCACTTTCATTGATGATTTAATATTTGAAATATAAATTAATATCAATTAAAAACTATTTTCTAGAACTTTGAGAATCGTTTGCTTTCTATTTGAGCGATTATTTCTTTAATTATTTATATTTGCTTTAACATCTAAAATTGAAAATAAGGAAACCTTAAATACATACAATGCATATTTAAATACTGTAAGTGTTTAAGAAAATTGCTATCATAAGATTGAAATGCAAATTAATAACGAAATGAATATCTTGAGACTATTTATATTGAAAAATTATGACAACGTACATATTTCATTCTAATAAATTCTAATACGAATATACTATTTAGATACTAACCTTTTTTAAAGATTTTTTAAGTAACTTAAATTATAAGTAATATTTAAATAAAATATATTTTATTATTATATTCATCATGAATTCCTTTAGAAGAGGAGTCTCAGGTTTAATTGTTAAGGATTAGAGTCTTCTATTAATAAAAAGAGAAAAGGCACCTTACAAAAATAGATGGACATTACCCGGAGGAAAAATTGAAAAAGAAGAATCAATTGATAATGCAATAAAAAGAGAAATTTTGGAAGAAGTTGGACTTATAGTAGATGTTTATTAGCCATTAGTAATCTAAATAATCAAGAAATATGTAATATTTAAATTAATGAGAGAATTATATACTTTATACAAAATGTTGTTCGATTGTCAAAGAGGAAATTCCTGTTGAAAATATTGAGTTTTAATATTTTCGAATTATTGATTTTTTCTTAATGGAAAAAAGATAATTTACTCCAGATTTACAAATTATCATCAAAACTTTACTTGATTAATTATGAATTATCAAGTATAAAAATGCAAATTGATCACAATTTTAAAATCTTAAACTGTATTAATCTAATATTATTCTTTTTCTAAAATGGTACTACTATNAATTCTAAAAGTAAATGTAAACATTTCTTTCACATTGCTATATGTCTAAAGGATTAATAGATTGTTATAATTAATTTAAGTTTCCAATCTATTATTTGAATTGATCAAATTTGATTATCTAATTAATATTTAAATAATACTTCTTCTAGACTTTCTCTTATTTATTATCTAAGTTCGATAAATTTCTTTTTATAAACGAACAACTCTTACTGCATAAGACTTAACTAGTTTTGCATTTCCTTTATTAAGTTTTCTATTGACATTAATTTATAGTCTAAATTGTGTTCATCATATTCAATTAATTATTAAAAGAATTGTTGTAGTTTTTAAGAATCTGTAAATTTAGAAAACAAATATTCTGGATATAAAAAAGCCTTATAAAATATGTAAACAATCTACCCTCTTGATATTTATTAAATTTTAATTTTCATTCAATATATTCTTATCTATTAAATTTGAATGGCATTGATCACAAATAAATTCAATTTCTTTCTCTTTTTATAAAATATAAAGGAATTCTGATCCTTTATGTTTTGGACATTGCACTTTCATTGATGATTTAATATTTGAAATATAAATTAATATCAATTAAAAACTATTTTCTAGAACTTTGAGAATCGTTTGCTTTCTATTTGAGCGATTATTTCTTTAATTATTTATATTTGCTTTAACATCTAAAATTGAAAATAAGGAAACCTTAAATACATACAATGCATATTTAAATACTGTAAGTGTTTAAGAAAATTGCTATCATAAGATTGAAATGCAAATTAATAACGAAATGAATATCTTGAGACTATTTATATTGAAAAATTATGACAACGTACATATTTCATTCTAATAAATTCTAATACGAATATACTATTTAGATACTAACCTTTTTTAAAGATTTTTTAAGTAACTTAAATTATAAGTAATATTTAAATAAAATATATTTTATTATTATATTCATCATGAATTCCTTTAGAAGAGGAGTCTCAGGTTTAATTGTTAAGGATTAGAGTCTTCTATTAATAAAAAGAGAAAAGGCACCTTACAAAAATAGATGGACATTACCCGGAGGAAAAATTGAAAAAGAAGAATCAATTGATAATGCAATAAAAAGAGAAATTTTGGAAGAAGTTGGACTTATAGTAGATGTTTATTAGCCATTAGTAATCTAAATAATCAAGAAATATGTAATATTTAAATTAATGAGAGAATTATATACTTTATACAAAATGTTGTTCGATTGTCAAAGAGGAAATTCCTGTTGAAAATATTGAGTTTTAATATTTTCGAATTATTGATTTTTTCTTAATGGAAAAAAGATAATTTACTCCAGATTTACAAATTATCATCAAAACTTTACTTGATTAATTATGAATTATCAAGTATAAAAATGCAAATTGATCACAATTTTAAAATCTTAAACTGTATTAATCTAATATTATTCTTTTTCTAAAATGGTATTATTATTAGTATTTATCCTCTTTAGATGATTAACGAAGAAGCGATATGTATCACAAATTCATTAAGTGTGTAAACAAACATAAGATCAATAAAGTAATCTTTAATTTATATTCCATCTTCCAATTTTCAAGCCATTTACATATTACCCATTTTAATAAGATCGACCACCTATTATTCAAAGTTTTCATTCTTCTCTACTTTCAAGATTTTCCATTAACCAAATTTTTGACCATTTCGATTACCCCTGATATGTTATTTAATGAAAACTAATCACATTTACATAACAATTATATTTACTCCCAAAATTCATCACTTAAATCAATCCAAATACCAGTTATTCACCTTGCTCATTATATTCTCCACCACCACTTCAAATTTAAAATTCTAATACATAACCTTTTTCTATTTGAAAATTTTCAAACTCCTTTTCTGTAATTATTCGTGTATTCTCCAATTTCATAAACCTACCCTCCTCTATTTATATAGTATCAAGTGAGAAAAGAAATACAAAATTCACCTTAATTTGATTAATCATTCTATTATTATTACTATAATCATCTATTAAAGAGATCTACTCAACCAATTATTTCATAAAATCAATTTATTATCTTTAAATATAAATTTAGATGTTTTCCAGGTAAATAATTAGTTTTAAATCCAATAAATCAGTAAAACAATAGGATATTTTAATAATATTGTAAGTTTCAAATCATAAATTTACTTTTATTGAAAAACAGAAATCAAAACTAAAAAAAAAATTTAATTTGTCAATCCATAAAATTCAGAATATATTTAATTAAGATTTTAATAGATTTTTAATTTGATGTTTTTTAGGAATGTTCAGCATTTATCAGAATGCCCAAAGATTTAAAAGGAAGGCTTCTTGAAAACTATCTCATTGTGTATCCAGCTAAGATAATAATACACAAGTGAAGCTCCTTCCCAGATAAAAGTACTATAGTAACTTGGATTGCAGATCATAGAATGGAAATTTCATGATAGATGATATGGTGATCCTTCATCATGTCCTGCTTCATAGATCCTACTAAGATAATTTAGAAATATTTTACAATAAAATATTTGGGCAAATTATTAATGGAATGCAGGAGAAGGAATAAGACCCATAGAAGTTTAGAAGAAGATTGATAGACCCCTTTTGAATGAAAGTGTTATATATCAAGAGGTTTTCAAAGCTTAAGCAACATTAAGTGGAGAATTTTGTTACATCTATAGTTGAAGAAAAAATATCAGATGAAGATTGAGCGAGAAGCTAGAAGAATTTTCAGTAAGATGATAGAAAAGTTACTAAATGGAGTCGTCATGAAAAGAAAAGCGATGCAGAAATATAATTAAGGGAGATAGAGGAGATTGAGAATATTCTAGTAATCTTATTATTATCTTTGGAAGAATTACAGAAAAATTTGCAGAAACTAACACTGATCATTATAAAAAATAAAAATTTTTGATTTAAGAAATATACATATTTTTAAAAGAAACCAAACAAAAAAATATATTATGTCATTCAATATTATTTTCAGTTTCTATTCAGAATTACAAAAAAAAAAAAGTGTGTTTTTATCAATATACTTAATTTAAAATTTAAAATTGCCACTTAGTTTTAATGTCTTTGTGAATCTTCAAACTCCTTTGATGATGGATTATTACCAAATTGTCTATAATGTGATACCTCTTGTCTAACTTGCTATGGGCCCCTTTCATTTAACTGTCTAACGTGTGATTCAACATATAGAGTATTTGATTTATCATCTTGCATATGTCCATCTGGATATTATGATGTTGGATAATTAGAATGTGCAGGTATTTCTACTTAAAAAATTTTCAGAATGCCACTATTCTTGTTTTTAATGCTTTGATAATTCAACTGAAGGTTGTGTAAATTGTTCAATTGATTTTCATCTTAGAGTGTTAAAAGGAAACACTTGCAAATGCATAGATGGATATTATGATGAACCAGGAACATCTAAATGCTAAAGTAATTACTAAGATTATTTGTATAATAGAATGCTCATATAAATGTGAAACTTGTGAAGATTAAGCTGATAAATGTTTGAGTTGTCCTTTAAATTCATTGCGTACTCTTGATTCCGATTTGGGTTGCCTTTGCCCAGGAGAGTATTATGATTAAGAAAATGTGATAACTTGTTAAAGTAACATAAAAATATAATAAAGAATGCCACCAAAAATGCAAAACTTGTACTGCCTAAACAGAAGACTCATGTCTCTAATGCGATCCATTGTCATATAGAGAAATTAAGCTTTAATAATGTAAATGCTAACCACATTATTTTGAATTGGATGTTTCTGAATGCTCAAGTAATTATTAAACTAAATTTAGCTTGTAGTGCCTTCTGTTACGAATGTGTTGACAATTTTGATAATTGTACATCATGCTCTGATGATAGATATCTAGTTGGAAATAAATGTTTATGTGCTTCTAAGTTTGAAGGGGCTTAAATAAGTACATTTGAATTTAATGGTTTGGTTAAATGCTAAAGTATATCTTCATATAATGTTAGAGTGCCATTATTCTTGTGCAACATGTGGAGGAGTAGAGGAAAAGGATTGCATAACTTGTATTGACACAGATAATAGGTACTAAGTAGGTAATACTTGTGTTTGTAAAGAAGGATATTATGATGCAGGATTGCCTGTGTGCTAAAGTATTTATCAATTGATATCAATAGAATGCAGTTACAAATGTAAAGGATGCTCAAAATAATCTGAATAGTGTACTTCTTGTTAAGATAACAGTTTAAGATAATTAGTTTCAGATTTCAAAACATGCAAATGCTATTAAAAATATTACGATGATGGATAAAACGAAGTTTGCTAATGTATATATTTTAAATATGATTAATTAGAATGCCATTACTCATGCCTTAGATGTAATGACATTGATACAAAATGTGAATTATGCTCATTTGAATCAAATAGAATTTACAATGATCAACTATTTTCTTGTGATTGTAATGTTGGTTACTATAATACGGGAGTTGAAATCTGTTAAAAATGTCATTATTCCTGTTTAAATTGTAATTCTGGAGATTCTAATTCATGTATTTAATGTGTTGATTCTAACATTTCAAATAGAGTATTTTATAATAACACTTGTAAATGTTTATTTGGATATTTTGACAACGGTTAATCAATTAAGTGTTAAAAGTGTGATGTTCAATGTTTAACTTGTATTAATCAATCTTATTAATGTTTATCATGTCCATAAACAAGGAAATTAGAAACTAATTGTAAATGTTAATAAGGATATTATGATATTGGATAACAACTTTGTATAAAATGTAATTCTATTTGTTCTGCATGTGAATTTACACCTAATAATTGCACATAATGTGATTCTGATTAATTTAGAGAACTTAATGATATTACAAAAACTTGTGATTGTTAAATTGGTTATCTTGAACTTAATGGAATTTGTTAATAATGTGATCAAAGTTGTAAAACATGTTCATAATACTTGAATTACTGTACATCTTGTGTATAGTTTCGAAAATTAAATAGCAATAATTGTATTTGTGTTGATGGCATGTATGAATCAATTTAAGATAAATAATGTAAATTATGTAATAAAACATGTTTAACATGTGCTTATTCAGATTAATATTGTCTAACTTGTTCAATTGATAATTTTAGAATATTTAAATCTGGAAATACATGTGAATGTATATAAGGATACTATGAAAATTAAATAACTTATGCATGTGAATAATGTTCAAAATCTTGTTTAACTTGTTCATAATAATAAAATAATTGTTTAACATGTGATACAACTCTTAATATGTCTTTGATCAATAATCAATGTTTATGTTCATAATCCTATTATTTTGATTCTTTAACTAGTTCATGTTAATGTAATATAGTTATATAATTATTTAGAATGTAATTTTACTTGTTTGGATTGTCAAAATTAGAATGAATGTATATCATGTAAATTAGTTACAAGACATTTAGATTAAGATTAAAAGAAATGCATATGCAATGATGGCTATTATGAAATAAACTAAGCAAATTGTTAATGTATTTAATTTATTAACTACTTTAAGAATGTCATTTATCTTGTGAAACCTGTATTAATATTGATACTAATTGTTCAAGTTGTATGAATTTATCGAATAGAGTATTAACTAATAATTAATGTTTATGTATATAAGGATATTATGATGCAGGAATTGAAATATGTTAAAAATGTAATGGTAAATGTAAAACATGTTAATCATCTGCTTCAACTTGTTTATCTTGTTATGAAATTGAACAAAATAGATATTAATCAATAGATTAATGTTTATGTAAATCTGGATATTTTGAATCTAATTCAGATATCTGTTAAAGTAATCTATATTAATTAATAATTTAGAATGTTCAAATGAATGTCTTACATGTTAAGGGTCACCTGATTATTGTACAAGTTGCGATACCAATTCTAAAAGAATAGATTAATCATTTATTCACAAATGTCCATGCATAATTGGATTTTATCAGGATCAAAATTAAATTTGTTAAAGTAAATATATGTATTATTTAAAGAATGTCATTATAAATGTTAAACTTGTATAAATGTAAGTGATTAATGTTTAAGTTGTAAGTTTGAATTAAATTCAAATAGAAAATCTTTATCTGATTTTTGTAATTGTAAAGAAGGCTATTACGATGATGGAACTTAATTATAATGCTAAAAATGCAATGTTAGATGTAAAAGTTGTCTAAATGATCCAAATAACTGTTAAGTTTGTTCAAATTCAATACGAAGTAATCCTCCAAAGTGTAATTGTATTGATGGATATTTTGAAGATATATAATTGACTTGTTAAAGTATTTATGATCTTAAAATAAGTGTGTGCTTATTAATGTAGTACTTGTGCGACTTTACCATAAAACTGTTTGACTTGTAAACCAGGAAGATCTGGAAATGATTGCAAATGTAGTGATGGATATTTTGAAAATGGATCCATATTTTGCGATTGTATTACTTCTTATCAATTTAATTAGAATGTGCATTTTAATGCGCTACTTGTAATAATTCTTCATAGAATTGTAACAAATGTAAAGGAAATAGAATTCAAGAACCTTAATGCATTTGTTAACCAGGCTATTTTGATGATCAATTAAATGAAGATTGTTAATTATGTGATAGTTCCTGCTTGGAATGTAATAAAATTGGATGTTTATCTTGTAATGCCAATAGAATAATAAATGATGATATGGATTGCGTGCCTCCACCGAATTCAATTTGGTATGATAGTACTCCTTGGTGTTCAAGTAAGTTAATTCAATATGTTTATAGCTTGTTAGGTTGCAGTTATTAAAGCATATTTATCAGATGATATTAGTAAAATTATTATTCATTTTGATTTCCCTTTAAATTCAAAGGCATTTAACTCATAATTTGAATTAAATAAATGTTTGTAGTTATTTGAATTAGAATCTGTTTCAAGCTTTGGTTTAAATTGCAACTGTTTTCTTAATCCAGATGATAATCAACAATTATTAATATCATTAGGAGAAAACTCAAAAATAAATGTAGGTGATGAGTTATTATTTCTAAGTAATTCTTTATCTCATGTTAATTGTGAAACTACTTTAAACAAGTTTATTTTTCCAACATTATAATTGGCAATAAACCCTTTGGCTCCATAAATTGAATATAATGTACCTCTATATAAACTGAATCCTTATACATAAAACTCTGTTTACTTGAAATCAATAAAAAACCATGGATTTAGAAAATTAACTAATATTATTTGGACTTTTTAAGCAGAAACAAGTTAAAATGCAGAAGCCTTGAATGATTTCATTACTTAAATCAACTTACTTTAGGAATAGAATTTGCTCATACCTAAACTTACATTACCAGCCGATGCTATCCTTAAATTTAAAATCCAATATCAAAATTTCATCAGTATTCATTCATAATCAGAATTTACTATATAAACTCATTCAGGAAGCCTTCCATACATTGATATAACTGTAAAACCTTAATATTTCGTATATGAGACAATTATTGTAGGGTTATCTGTTAGCACTTTATATTAATCAAATTAAACTGATAGTTCAAAATATTTAATTGAAATTAGCGAAATTGATAGATATCC